AAACTTTGGTGGGATAATTTAGAGTTGCATACCCATAGTCAGCTAGAGTAGTTCGAGAGAATGGTCTAGTAAATTATTGTAGTTGATCGAGAGATAATTACGATAGCCCATAACTTATTCTCATAGAGTATTACAGCGAGATTATAGTGGAAGAGTCAAGACCTAAACTGGCAATTGGGGAAATCACTGCCCTAGACCTTTTTACCATTGAATTATCTTTGTTTTAGCTTATTGTTGTTTTTAATAGTAGTTGAAGTAGTTAAACAAAAGAACCCAGTCTTTATTGATCAAAAATCTTGCATCTAGAAATTGATTGAGTTGATAATAACATTGCCGAAAAGTGTAATAGATAAGTTAGTTCCCTGAGGATTCGATTCCGGACTTAAAACCAGATTGTATTTGCAACGACCGCTTTGTCTCTTAAAGGGCATAGTTGGGTGTTATCAAATTTTGGCACAGTTGCTGGGGAACTAACGGTGTTATTTATTACAACTTAGAAGTAGTATTAAAAATTATTAGTTCAAATCAAATTTCAAAGGTGTTAAACAATTTTCATTGAAATTCTAACGTTTGAACTTTGGTGGAATTCAGGTGTATACCTAGAAATTCTTCGAGGACTGGAAAATTGCTTGAAGGACTTTCAGACCCCGAGAAAACATTCAGGGCATTAAACCGTGCCAACAGGAAGATCCAACAATCACAACAACCACATCAGCTTGACTTTGACATGGGTGACGTAGAGAACGTCAACGGAAACATCAGGGATGAGCAAGCTGACCCAAATGTCAGAGTGGTGGAACATTTTGTGCTAGAAGCTGCACTTTATGATTGGGCTCAACCCACAACTGACAACTTGGCAACTGCCATAGCTGTACCCGCAATACAAGCGGAGACATTCCAGATCACCAACAACATGTTGCATCTACTGTAGAATAAGGGATTGTTCTCCGGGTCACACATTGAAGACCCCTAGCAACATTTGAAAAATTTTCTGTCAATTTGTGTGACTCAAAGGCAGCCAAATGTGACCCCAGAAGCTATCAACCTATTACTGTTCCCGTTCTCTATGATTGGGGAAGCTCAGACTTGGTTGAATTCGCTCCCAATCAATTCCATTGTCACCTGGGAGGAATTAGTAAAACAGTTTTTGAATAAGTTCTACCCACCCAACAAGACTGCAAGGCAGATTGATGAAATATTGTAGTATAAGCAGCAGCCGACTAAGACCTTGCAAGAAACTTGGGAAAGATTTAAAGGGATGCTGGTTAAGTGCCCTCACCATGGCATTCCAGACCAAATGCTTGGCCAGAGATTCTAAATGGGATTAGCTAACAATCTAAAGGCCAATGTGGATGCTTCAGCTGGAGGTGCATTTTTGAGTAAAACATTCACCGAGTGCAAAGTCCTTCTTGACAAAATGTCCCAGAATTCGGGGTGGATGACTAGAGGTACAACACTGGCACCCATAGTGCATTCAATGTCTCTTGACCCAAATAATTCGCAGGCAGAGAACATGGCCACACTTCTGACTCAGATGAGTATTTTGACAAAGAAGATAGAAGAGATGGGTACCAAATAGGTGCATATTGTTGTCACGACAAATGGAGGACTGTGTACACCCTGTGTTAATCAGTCTTATGTATGTTCATGGAGCGGAGAAGGTGAAAATCAAGGGGCAACGGAAGATATGAATTATATTAACAACTTTGGGGGTCAGAGACAAGGATGACAACAGTGGAGACCGGCACCAAATAAGCAATACAGACCCAACATGCCTCAGCCTGGGGGCATGCAAGCTCAAGGCCAAATGGTGCCATACCACCAGAGACATCAAGGCTACCCACAACAGAACCAACAATAGTTGGCATATCAGCCACCTCCTCAGCAGCAAGATAACAACATGGTAGAGATCAGGGGGATGCTCCAGCAACTCATTGGGACAAATGGTAAGATGCAAGAAAAGTTGGCAGTACATGATTCATCTATAAAGAACATTGAAACTCAGTTGGGGCAGTTGTCTATGGCTTTAAACAATTGCCCCAGAGGACATTGCCAGTGAATACAAATATTAACCCTAAGGAGCAAAACCCGAATCAGCTAATGGCAGTAACTTCGGAATGGGAGAGATCTAGACAAAGAGCAGGAGGTTGCACAAGCCAGCAAGGAGACTACGCCAGCCACTCCAATTCCACTAGAGGTAGATGAACCAACAAATCTGACTGAAATGGTAGTTGAACAGGGTCAAGATGAAAAGGGTAAGGCTAAGGTAAATGAACAAGCTACAGAATATGTGGTGCCTATTGTGCCACAGAACCCCAACAGAGAGAAGCCAGCAAGAAGTGCACAAAGGGTGATACCTGCACCATTTCCTTAGAGACTGGTAAAACAAAAGAAGGAAGATCAATACAAGAAATTTATGGAGATGCTGCATCAAATTCAGTTGAATATTCCTTTGATGGATGACTTGAGGGAGATGCCAGGTTATGCAAAGATGATGAAAGACCTAATGTCACGAAAGTTTGATTTTCAGGATCTATCCACAGTAACTCTGACGCAGACCTGCAGCGCTGTAGTGACCAGACCGATGGCTCAAAAGATGTCCGACCCAGGTAGCTTCACTATTCCGTGCACGATTGGGAGTTACGCCTTTGCAAAGGCATTATGTGATTTGGGAGACAACATGAATTTGATGCCTCTGGCTGTATATACCAAACTGAGCATTGGCAGAGCTAGACCGACTTCGATGCTATTGCAACTGGCTGACCGCACGGTAAAAAGACCTACTGGGATTCTTGATGATGTATTGGTGCAAGTGGGGAAGTTCGTGTTCCCTGCAGACTTTGTTATTCTGGATTATCAGGTAGATGAGGAGATACCTATCATTTTAGGTAGGCCATTTTTGGCCACTGGGAGAGCCCTGATCGATTGTGAGACCAGGGAATTAAAAATGAGACTGAACGATGAAGAAGTCATATTCAATGTTCAGCAATCTATGATGAGACCCAATGAATATGCGAATTGCTCTCTAGTGAAGGCAGTGGATGTGATCCTGCAAGAAGAGGATGTGACCCTGACTGCTAAAGATCCATTGGAGGCATGTCTGATAAATTTAGAAGAAATGGATGGTGAAAGGTTGGCTGAGTGGGTCATCGCACTTGAAGGCCAAGGATTTTGGAAAAGGGAATCTCAGTTCGAGTCCCTTGAGTTAGAAAAAAGGGCTACACCTCCAGCAAAACCATCGATAGAGGAACCAACCAAGTTGGAGCTGAAGCCACTCCCAGCTCACCTCAGGTACATTTTCTTAGGCCCCGATTCTACGTTGCCTATTATTATATCATCCAGTTTGTTAGATGTGTAGGTAGAACAACTTTTACAGGTACTGCAGGAAAGCAAGACTGCCATTGGCTGGACCATGGAAGACATAAAGGGTATCAGCCCAGCCTTCTGTATGTACAAGATTCTCTTGGAAGAAGGGCACAAACCTTCCAGAGAACATCAACGAAGGCTGAACCCGAACATGAAGGAGGTAGTAAAGAAGGAAGTGATCAAATGGTTAGATGCGGGAATCATCTTCCCCATCTCTGATAGCAATTGGGTCAGCCCTGTCCAATGTGTGCCGAAAAAGGGAGGAATGACTGTTGTGCAAAATGAGAACAATGAGTTGATCTCAACTTGTACAGTCAAGGGATGGTAGATTTGCATGGATTACCGAAAATTGAACACAACCACCCGGAAAAACCACTTCCCCTTGCCTTTCATTGACCAAATGTTGGACAGGCTGGCCGGGCGCTCGTACTTCTGTTTCTTGGATGGTTATTCGGGGTACAATCAGATATCAATAGCCCCCAAAGATAGAGAGAAAACATCCTTCACTTGTCCATATGTCATCTTCGCCTTTCGGAGAATGCCTTTTGGGCTTTGCAATGCACCTGTGACATTTCAACGGTGCATGTTAGCCATTTTCACAAACATGGTGGAGGATATTATGGAGGTCTTTATGGATGATTTCTCCGTGGTGGGAGATTCATTCGAGGACTGTCTTCACAACTTAAGAAGAGTGCTTAAAAGATGTGTGGAGACAAATTTAGTATTGAACTGGGAAAAGTGCCATTTTATGGTACAAGAAGGGATAGTCTTGGGACATTGAGTGCCCAGTAAGGGAATTGAGGTCGACCATGCCAAGGTTGACGTGATTGAAAAACTACCACTGCCCACTTCGGTCAAGGCGGTGAGAAGTTTCCTTGGGCACGCTGGGTTCTACAGGCGATTCATCAAAGATTTCTCCAAAATTGCTAACCCATTATGCAAACTCCTTGAAAAGGATCACCCCTTTGTGTTTTCTAATGAATGCAGGTTGGCATTTGAGGAACTGAAGAAGAGATTGGTGACTTCACCCATCATTGTTGCACCCAACTAGGATCAACCATTTGAGCTCATGTGCGATGCTAGTAACTACGCCATAGGAGCAGTCTTGGGGCAGCGACACGGTAAACTGATGCACCCAATTTATTATGCAAGCAGAACGCTGAGCGGTGCACAACTCAATTACACTATGACGGAAAAGGATATGTTGGATGTTGTTTTTGCATTCGATAAATTCAGGTCATATTTGATTGGCTCGAAAGTTATTGTTTACACTGACCATGCAACAATTAGATACCTGATAGAAAAGAAGGAGTCAAAGCCACGCTTGATTCACTGGGTTCTTCTGTTACAAGAATTTGATCTGGAAATACGTGACCAAAAAGGGACAGAGAACCAAGTAGTTGACCCCCTCTCAAGGTTGGAAGGAGATGAAAAGAAGGTAGAGGTTTAGGATATAACAGAGACATTCCCGGATGAATAATTACGGGCAATGACAATAGAGGAGGCACCTTGGTATGTTGATATTGCTAATTATTTAGCAAGTGGTATTGTACCTTATGAACTCTCTTCAATTCAAAAGAAAATGTTCTTTCGTGATTGTCGATATTATTATTGGGATGAACCTTTATTGTTTAAAATGTGTATAGATAACATGATCCGGCGGTGTATCCCCGAGAAAGACCAACATTCTATTTTGCAGGCTTGCCATGCTTCACCATATGGTGGACACTTTGGAGGGATTCAGACAGCAGCTAAGGTGTTGGAGTCAGGCTTGTACTGGCCTACTCTGTTCAAGGATGCTCATGCTTGGGTTAAAAGCTACGATGAATGCCAAAGAACTGGAAACATATCTCGTAGACACGAGATGCCAATGACCACAATCCAAGAGGTGGAGATTTTTGACATGTGGGGGATTGACTTCATGGGGCCATTCATCAGCTCGTATGGTAACGAGTACATATTGGTAGCAGTTGACTATGTCTCCAAGTGGGTCGAAACAGTGGCTCTCCCGACCAATGATGCTAAGGGGGTACTAGGCTTTCTAAAGAAGAATATTTTCACGCGTTTTGGTACCCAAGAGCTATACTCAGTGATGGCGGAACCCATTTCTGCAATAGAGCATTCGCACAGCTATTGGAAAAATATGGAGTTCGTCATAAAGTGACTACCCTGTACCACCCACAATCGAGCGGGCAAGTTGAAGTGTCCAACAGGGATATTAAAAGTGTCCTCACAAATACAGTGAATGCAACAAAGACTGACTGAGCAAGGAAATTGGATGATGTATTGTGGGCGTACCGCACAGCCTTCAAAACCCCAATTGGGATGTCACCGTATAGGTTGGTGTTTGGTAAGGCATGCCACCTCCCAGTTGAGCTAGAGCATAAAGTACTTTGGGCATTGCGGCAATTGAACTTAGACACGGAGACAACATGCACTAACAGAGTCACGAGATTACATGAGCTCGAGGAATTCAGGTTCCAGGCCTTTGAGAGTGCTAGATTATACAAAGAAATGATAAAATTAATGCATGATAAGCACATCTTGGATCGAAACTTCAAACCCGGAGATCGAGTGTTGTTATACAACTTGAGATTGAGATTGTTCCTAGGTAAGTTAAAGTCCCGATGGTCAGGACCCTTCAAAGTGGTGCAATTGTTCTTAAGTGGAGCTGTAGAGATTGAATCAGAAGATGGGACAAACAAGTTCACAGTAAATGGGCAAAGGTTGAAACATTACCTTGGCATGTTTGATGAAAAAGGGAATAGAGTGGTAATCACTTTGATAAAGCCCTAGTACACGGATGAGGAGTGATGGTCAAATGCTGGCGTTGTGCCGCGACGTTAAATCAGGCGCTGCGTGGGAGGCAACCTACGAGTGTATTGATTAGCTGTTCATGTAACTTTTAAAAAAACACCCAGCACCGCGACCGCGGTAAACCATGGTGAGGCGTAAACTTTCTGCCTCAGATTTTGAAATCCACCGCGGCCCCGGTGGACTGCGGTCGACCGCGGTCGGTCCAGGTAATTTTAATTTTTTTCCCGTTTTCTTAATTCTTTTATTCCTCTTTTAATTTTACAACCCAAACCCCCCTCTTAAATCCAAAACACGACCCCCTCCCCCATATTCCCAATTTCTCTCTCTCTAAACCCTAACCTACCCAATTCCTCTCTTCTGCTTCTTCTCCTTCAATCACACCACCCACATCTCCAATTCCTCTTCTCCTTCCCCCCTTAAGGTAAGGTTCTAACTCTTCTCTCTCTTTTCTTTGTCATTGTGTTGTATTATGTTGTAGTTTATGTAATTTTATGTTGTGTTGAGATGTAATTGTTGGTATACTCCTTTTCTTCTTGTTTTTTCTTTTCCATTTTGTTTTTAGGTTTTCTTGGTGAAGGGGTTGTGAATTGCATGTTTGAACGGTGTTATTGGTGGGTGATTGAATGAAGTAAGTGTGGGGTGTGTTGGTGTGGTAGTTTACTTGATTGGGGAAGAGCTTGGATGTGCCCATGAGGGCTAGATGTGTTTGGGTAGTGCCTTGCTCACTAGGTGTTTGGGAAATTGCCCTAATGGGGATATAAGGAGCTATTGTGACATGGGTATGGTGAAGTCTGAGTAACCATCCATAGTCACATATTTTGCACACTCACTAATAGGCGTTTCGTTGTATGACAGGTACAATGAGCTCCTCCAGGAAGAGACGAAACACCGGACCGTCCATCAGTGGACCGGGAAGCTCCTCACGATCTAGGAGCCAAGCCAGTGCACCTCAGTTCGATAGCACTCGGTTTGTCTCCAGCGCAATGGAGAATAGGTACAACCAAATATCAGCTAAGAAGTTACAACCAGAGGTACACATTGATCGAATGGCTTTGGAGGTGGAATGCCCAAATATGTTGAATGAGATACAACGGTGTCAGCTGGACATCTTCTTCGAGGTACTAGAGAAGGATAATGTTCAATTAGTAAGGGAGTTCTATGCAAACCTGCCAGAACATGAGAATGGGGTTGTGATGGTGCGCAATACCCCGGTAAATGCATCCCTTGACGCCATCCGCAGGGTATACAGGCTGCCTGTGTTTCGGGGTGACTTTGATCCTTGTCGTACTTTTAGCAGAACACGGGCTTTGTGGGGCACTCTTCTTGATACTTTATGTGTGCCGGACGGAGAACACCTATGGATCAAGCACATGATTACTCTCAACTCCCACTGTCTGAATTGGGAGGCCAAGTGTTGGCTTACCATTGTCAACAGACGATTGTTGCCATCCAGCAACACGACAGATGTTAATCTACCACGGGCATCCACAATCTACTATTTTATGTCCCATAGTGATTTTGATGTGGCCCGGCTCATTCATGAAGCGATGTTCATTCGATCACCTAAGCTAACCAAGGGCCACTACATCCCTTCGCTGGTCACCCAGTTGTGCCGTATTGCTCGAGTCCCTGAAGACCCTCGGCTTGATGGGAGATTGCCACTAAAAGCCCCATTCGGGGCGAGAAAAATTGGAATTGGACGAGAGCCGGTGGTGAATGTTGATGACTCTGATGATGATTCGGCTGATGATGATGATGATAATGCTGAGGTAGCTGAGGTTCCCCCTCCTCCAAGAGTTGATGTGGCAGGCCCATCACAGCCACACCGGAGTACCCGTATGATAGCTTTGGAGTAGGATATGGCTGGGTTGCATACCTCAATCACTGATTTGGGTGTCCCTGTTGATGCGGTGGCCGAGAGGCAAGGGAAATCGGAGAAGAAATTCTTGGGCTGGTTGAGAGCGCTAGGACGTGCATGCAACGTGAACCCAAACACTGTCTTCGTTCAGGAGTGAGCCTCAGGAAAGTTCCTTAACCTCACTGTTCTTTAAATTTTGAGCCATGAGGACATGTCTTCATTTTATGTGTGGGGTAGGGATGCTTCATTGTATGTTTCTAATTGTAATAATTGACTGTTTGATTTTGCTTGTTTTTCCTTGCTTTGATTGTTTTGATGTAGAGTAATAGTTCATTAGGAAAGCTAAAATAGTAAGTGACTTGTCCCGACGACGGATCTCTTTCGGCGGGGTTCTTGAGGGACTAAGTCGAAAAAAAAAAGTGGAATATGGAGACTCTTCCTGATGACGGATCCGTTAGACAATTTTCTTGAGGGAAGTAGTCTAGAGAAAAGACCAAAAAGATTTTTTAATTTTATTTTTAGGTAATGTAGTAACTCCCCCTTGGTTTTTCTTTGGGCCATAGTTCTTTTCCAAGGGTTTAGCTTGAACCGGGTATAGGTAGTTTTTGTTTTTGATCTTTTTAGTTTTAGGTTAGGATTAATGGGCCACGAGCGAAAAACGATTTTTTTACACCTGAACACGATAGACACTAGAGTTCAAATAGTAGTTTCTTTCAGTTTGCCCTGTGTGTTTGCAAAGCGAAATAGTAGTTTTTTTCAGTTTTAGAAGTGATATAGGCATTCTTTGTTAAGCCAGATATATAAAGTGACCCACCTGAATGCAATACATCGTAGTTAACCCCGTTGAGCCTATACGCCTACTTCTTTGGCAACCACATTGCGAACCTTACCCAATTATTTGAATAGCTGGCCGTTTGAACCCTTTTACCTCCCAATAAGCACTTGAACGGTAATGGAAATATGCAAAAGTAAAAATTTGGGGTGGTGGTTTGGTTTTGAGTGGAACCACTGAGATAGAGGAAAGAGGTAGAATTTGAAGCATAAAAGAAAAAGCACCACGAAAAAAAAGATAATATTCACAATGGTTAAGAAGTGGTGGCTTGTACAAATTGTACCTAATGGAAGGAGATGTTTTAAACAAATGAGGTGGAGTGCTGGTTGGCACAACTATGATCTTTAAGTTAATTTAATTGTATTAAAAAGTTCTTAGGGAGGTTAGTCACTATATCTAAATATATCCTACCTATCCCTTAGCCTACACTACAACCAAGTAAAGTCCTATTGATCTTAGACTGAATGAGCTCAATTAGTAAAGTATTACACT